AAGATGGGGGACACCTGGCTTAACGAGACTACATATGAAAGGGATCTACTAGTCCTAGCAGATCACAAGTTGAACATGAGTCAACAATGTGATGCAACAGCTAAAAAGGCCACTGCGATTTTAGACTACATCAATAAAAGTATAGTGTTTAGATCAAGGGAAGTAACAGTGCCACTGTATTCTGCTGTGGTCGGGCTCCACCTGGAATACTGTGTCCATTTCTGGGCACCGCAATTCAAAAAGGATGTTGACAAACTGGAGTATGTCCAAAGGAGGGCAACTAAAATGGTGAAGGGTCTGGAAACCATGCCCTATGAGGAATGACTTAGGGAACTGAGTATATTTAGCCTGGAGAAGAGACGGTTAAGAAGTGATATGATAGCCCTGTTTAAGTATTAGAAAGTGTGTCATATTGAGGAGGGAGCAGGCTTGTTTTCTGCTGCTCCAGAGAACAGGACCTGGAGCAATGGATGCAAGCTACAGGAAGAGATTCCATCTCAATATTAGAAGGCACTTCCTGACAGTAAGGACTGTTTGACAGTGGAACACTCTCCTTCAGAGTGGTGGAGTCTCCTTTGGAGGTTTTCAAACAGAGGCTGGATGGCCATCTGTCAGGTATGCTTTGATTGATAGTTCCTGCATGGCAGGGGGTTGTACTGGATGGCACTTGTGGTCTCTTCCAACTCTATGATTCTATGATTTTTCAAACATCACTGTAAAGGAAGGTTTATCAAATATCTGCTAAAGTGGATTGTCCCAATATCATGAGGCAAAGTTTATGTTGTATGAGGTAACCACTTTCTTGCTGTTGTGCGTGCATGTGTCTTCAAATTTTCTTCTTCTAGTTTATTTATATAGCGCTGTAGGTTTACACAGCGCTTTACATAATGAACATTCAGAATACAAATACAAGCCTGCCTATGGCATACTGTCTAAAAGGACAAGAAGAATTATAAAATTAAAACTTATCTTAAAATGATTCTACACAATAAACTATAAAACAAAACACATTAGAACACGTATCATCTCTTGACTTATGGCAACCCCATGAATTTCATAGGGTTTTCTTAGGCAACGAATACTCAGAAGTGGTTTGCAAGTTCCTTCCTCTACTGTTACACCAGTAATCCTGGAGCAGGAAGTCAACATCTAAATAGCCCAGCTGTCATGAACCAAGAATCTAACTCTCCATCTTCAGGGGATGAATCCAGTAAGTAAAAGGAAGTATCAGAGAGGAAATTTGCTGACACTACTCACCAAGATCCATGTTGATTGCACCTCTCTTGTTGCTATCCCCAAGTATAGCTCAAAAGCTCCAGTAGAATCACAGCATTGTAATCAGCAAATACTGAAGCAGACTAGCCCCATTTAACAGAAGAGACTTGGCTCACCAGAGAGAGAAGTAGCCATGCAGATGGGACTGTAGTTATGTTTAAGGCTCAGTTTGGGACAGTTTATTTTTTGTTCTCTACCTGAGCTTTTCATGAAACTGTCTATGCCACTACCTGCTATGTTTGAACTTGGCTTTGTCACAACCTGACTTATGCTGTGTTTGGCTTGACTTGACTTGATCAGAACTTAACCTTTTCTTTGCTTGACTTCACCTTACTGAAACCTGATCTCTGTTTTGCTTGACTTTCCCTTACCACAGTCTAAAATGTTTTATGCTTGATATTGCCTTACCAGAACCTGAACAGATGCCATGATCCAACTCTGCATTTTTGGAGGATGACATATGTAATTTAGAGGAATTCACTTCACTTGTTTCCCTTGTCAGAACCTAAACTTCTGCCTAACACACACACCACTACCACACACAAACCCAATGCACACACAGTTAGCTTCTGCTAGATCTCCATCTGGTGGCAACACATTTTAGACAATTGACGTTATCACACTGGCGGCAAGAAAGTGGGATGGAATCATTCTGGAA